AGCCTCCTCCTGCTCCTTCACCTCTGACTCTGGCAGAGGTGGCTGGTAGCCAACATGGTTCTTGTCGAGGGGTTTGAGGGAAAGCGTAATGAGGATGGTTGACACCTTGCGCTCCACCTCCATGTTTTCCTTCTTCCCGTCAACTGCCTCGTACTCGTCGCGGATGATCTCCGACGAGATGTCGGTCGTCTGGTGCAGGCCGACCACACGACGCTTCACAATCTCCGCAATGTTCACCGCGTTGTGGATGGCGGCACCCATGGCGCTGATCTTGATCGTGTCGTGCTGTGTCTTGCCCTCCTCACCGCGAAAAAGCGAAATCGCATACGTAATGTAGCTGCGCTGGCCATGTTTTGCTGTCACGCGGATCTCGTTTTCAGGTCCTTGGCCCTTCTCCTTCTCGCCGTCGTTCTTGCGAACACGACGGTACTCGTCACGAGGCGGATACGCGGGCATCGTTGAAGTATTAAGTTTATGTATTCTGTGTTTCGTTTCTTTTACGTGCTTTCCTTGTTGATGTGGTGTATTTTAAAAATATCCTTTAAGAGTTAGAAAAGAAAAAAAAACACTACGACAACACAGCAAAAGTACCAAGATGCATAAAAATTTTAGCAGCATGGAGACCTCCTACTATGTAGCCAACTGCAAGCATTAATTTAGGCTTCTGTGATTGCCCCTTTTTCCTCGGCTTGCTGAGCGGTAGCTCTTGTCTCTCGGTGTGTGCGTACCGCGTCATTTGGTGTATCCAAATGATAAGTGAAAAATGTGCCGCTGTTGCAAAACAGACTAATTCGCCTCCCTCTTCACCCGTTGTTTTTGTTTGTAGAGAGCTCCGTTTCATTATTTTTCTTTCCTTTTTTGCCCTTTTGATTTTTACTTCTCACTTTCACAACACTCTACGCTTGCCCCGCTCTCTCTCTCTCTCCCCCCCTCCCTCACATATATGTATATATGTATAGATATATACATTTTATCTCTTCTATAACGAATGATGAGGCACCGCCCTTGTTCCTCACTTTACATTTTCCACTTCACGATATATATATGTGAACGTGCATGCATGAATATACTTATTCCCTACTAGAGGTGCAGGACAGCAACAACGGAAAAGCAAACAAAAAAAATGGTCATAGCAATAAAAACATAGCAGCTCACTTGAGCAATGACCGACACAATAAGAACACATTGTAAGGGTATGGAACTGCACCACGCCTACAGGGCTGCTCCACTGGCCATTGGCAACCCACCCCGCGCGGGTGCTATGAGTTGCCGTACGAAGTGAGTGGTACGCGGCACGCGGCACGCAATGGTGCGCGAATATCCTGTGAAGGTCCACATGACGGTAGCATTCACAGTGTTCGGTGAGGCAGAAGTGGAAAAAAAAAAGCGGTAGAGATGCGAACTGGGAAAATATCACGTCTTTTTTGCTTTTTATATTTCTTCTTGGTATCCTTTTGCGCGAGACAGTGCTCACCCCGCAGCTCCCCTCTTTGTTTGCCTTTTTGGCTCACCGCAAAAATAGAAAAATGCAAACACATCACAACAGCTGCAACACATAAACCAAATGAAGGGTTCTACTTGTTTCACGTTAACTTCTACGGAGTAGAAAAAAACCGTGCAGACTGTTCGTTCATTAAAGACAGCTGGCGCGCAAAAGCCCGTTTGTTTAACTGCCGAAGGGACACAAGGAGATCCTCTAGAGACTGCTGGTGTGTCTCCATCCACTCCTTCTGCTCACTGAATGACTGGAGACGCGAGTCCAGCAGTGCCAGAGTGACCTTTACTGCTGCTCGGGATTTTTCTGCAGATGCAGCAGCGTTGTCTAACTCCGAAATCACATCTGGTACTTCCTTCTCGCGCGTGCTCCAGAACACACGCTGCAATGTAAGTGACGCTGTGCGAAACTTTTGACGCACCTGTTGGCTGTCCTGCTCGTGTTCGTTGAGTACATCCCTCTCGTTTACCGTCTCCTCTTCAGAGACCTTCAGAAACGATGCGTACTCCTCACGAAGAATTGTGAGGCGATCTTGCAGGGTTCCAATAATGTTCTCCAACGCCGTTTCATACTGACGCACAATGGTCTCGTTCGTCTTCTCCTCTTTACTAAGATTTGTGCTGCGGCGAGCGCGGTACTCTTCTTGTCGCTTTTGATGATCTTCAGCCAGTTTAGTATCACGAAACGCCTGCAGCTGCTGCTTCAGTGCCAGTACGTTGTTTTCATAAATGACTGCATCCGACTGACGTGCCTCCTCCGAGAGTCTTAGCGCTTCTGACAGTCGCTGGATCTCTCCACGCGCTTCGGACTCAGATTCCTGCGTCTTCTCCAGAACAATTGCCATCTCTTCCATGCGACCCATGAGCTTCGCAAACTCATCGGCGCGGTCCGTGTCCACCGACGCGGCGCGTGAAACTGTTTCGCAATTGGCTGACTCAGTTTTTGAGCGCAACCGGACGCGCAAGTTCTCAATAATGACATCCTTTTCAAGCAAATTCTCCTCGAATTCCCGCTCTTTCGCCTCCATCTCCTTCCTGTTTCCTTGTATAATGGCAGCGATCAACTCGTTCTGGTGCAGTGCATGCTTGTCAAGCCGCTTACGCTCCCGTTTAATGGTTTCAAGTGCTTTCTTCATTTCTTCCTCAAGGCGCCTGTTCTCAGCCTCGCTGCCCTGCAGCGCCTCCTGCGCTTTGCTGAGTGCGTCACCTAATACCTGCTCCCTATCGTGGAGCTGCCGCAGCAGCTTCTCCTCTAATTGCCTTTTTGCATCCTCAAGTTCCGCTACCTTACTCGCGTTCTCTTCCTGAACCTTCTCTAGCCTCTGCTTCACCTCCTTCTCAAGCTCTGAAATGCGCTTAAGTGCCGCATCCAAGCCGCTTGGCGGAGCATCGCGATTCGCATACAGACGCATCACCTCGCGAAAGGGGTAGAGCTCAACCCTTTCTTGTATTTCACTCTCCCCGACATCCGCGTCGTGCGAGACGTGAAACGTGACGTATAAGCTGCCAAGTCGAAACTCAAGCTCGCTGATGTCCCCTGGATCCACATGGCAGGCAATAGCCGCCTCTGTCACAAACGCACTGCAAAGCGCCTCCATATGTTTTTCCAGTACACACTTCCAGTCATCCCCTTCAAATCGCCTCGTGTGGCGTGTTGTAATAATTGCGCAAGCGACGGAGGAGACAGAAGATGACATTCCATCGAGCTGTTCAAGCTCCCTAACCAGCGAGGCTGATGATGCTTCATAAATGACACCCATGTTTTTCATCTCCGCACCAAAACCCAAGGCGCATTTCCCATACCAGTCAAGCGAACAATGCTCCAGACACATCGAATGGCAATCCATAGTCAATCAAAAAATGATCAGAAAAAAATGGGGAAAATATATCCTTCTGATCGGATGTTCCTTTCACAACAACACAACTAAAAAAAAAACTAAGAGAAAACAAAAAAACACGCACGCACACCAGTCAAGAGCAACTACAAAAAATAAGAAAACGTTTTCCGTTTCAAGGCAATAATACAGAGCCACCCAAAAGTTTTTAAAAAATGTTGAAAGAAAATCAAGTTATCAGTGATATCCAAGTAGAAACATTCTGCCACCATCCCACTCGCCTGCTCCCAGGCACTGGAAAATTACCAAAAAAAAAAGGCCCAAAAAAGCAAGCGACCGCCCACATATGACACTTCAACCATATAGGCATGCACACACATAAATTAGCCCCAATAAATAAATTAAAAAACATTAACAAAACCAAATGTTAAAGCATTATTCCCTCATATTACTCCGTCTCAATTCCCCACGAAGAGCTTCCACTTCCTCCTCCAATATACTTATACGCATTCCATAAGACACACGCAAAAGACTCTGGCACTTCGTAGACTTTTCCAAAGTCATCTTCTGCAAACAAGCCCTTTCCCGCCATTTCCGCGCAACACTCACCAACGACACACAAAGTCCACGAAGATCCACACCCGACACAAAACGCTCACAAGCCAAATCTTGGTCGACAGTCCCCTCACAACCTCCAACCAAAGCATTCAGACCAACAGCATTAACACCTTCTACAGAAAACACACCAGCAGTAGAAAATGTACCCCTAGCACCGCTTCCCTCATCCAACTGCGACTGCAACTCTTCATTGTGCAGCTGCAAGGCCTCGCACACATGCGCCCCAAGGCGCACCTCCTCCAGCTGCGACTGCAAGTCCTCCTCCTCTCGGCACAACTTGTTGAACTCGGCGCGCAGCGAATCATTTGCACGCTGCTGCTGCTCCACTTCCAACGCCACCGACACCTCTGGCGCACGTCCCTCATACTCTCCTTTCACCGCAAGTACGATAGCGCGTGTCTTCTGTTTCACAAGCTCCTCACGCGTCCGTGCCGCACTGATCTCACCTTCGGCTGCACGCAGTTTCTGCGCAAGCGCGTCGGCCCTCGCCCTAGATGCTTCGCAGGTGTCCTTCAGCCGCTTCTCGGAGCGACGCAACTCATCAACCTCCCTCTGCCTGTCCTTTCCGCAGCGGCGGGCAACCTCCAACGCCTCCGCAGCACGCCGCGCCTCACCCAACTGCGACTGCAACTCCTCATTGTGC